CCCTTTTATCCCTGGGGGCATGCCTGGCTGACTAGTTGCAGAGGCTGCGCGAGAGAAAGCTGTAAGACAGGAGATGTTGCTGCTGGCAACACATTGTCGATCAGCGCTACCCTCCCCCGCCCCATACCCCGAGGAGAGATCTAATAAGACGACGCTGCCTTGCGAGGCTGTCTTCGCCTGAATTTCTTATATCATTGATAATAATGGCTGGGGCAGAAGCTGCCCCTTCAAAGCTGGAGCAAGTGCACACCGGTGTTGGGGTGTTCTCGCTCGCGAAAATCCAGAAATCTATATCTCCATATCGTGGGGAGGAGGAAATGCACGAGCAGAGTTGGACGACTCTGGAGGATCGATATAGATGAATGAGTTGAGGTAGGGGTGAGAGAGAGCTCGCTGGCTGAACGGCCTGCGAGTTGGTATGGCTGGGGCGATGGACTAAAAAGGCCCGCCCTCGCCCTTGCCTCCCTTCGGCATCTTGCGCGGGGGGCTGGGCACGTCGGCATCGGGGTCTGGCGGACCCACGGGAACGCCGTGTGCGGACTCGATGTTGCGCACTGCCTCGGCTATTTGCGAGGCCGTCATCTGCGTCGGCTGAGAATCGGCAACGTCTATCATATTGGCTGTGACTGTGTGTTGGGGCGCAGTCACTTGGCTGTCCTCCTGTAGAGGATCCCCCGTGTGAAAAAAAAGGGCTGGGTCGGCGACAACGGAGGCTGGTATAGCACCTGGGTATCCTGGGACATGTCCTCGCGCTTGGCCTCCTTGAGCTCCTCCTCCGTGGGCTCCTGCTTCATCTCGCTGGCTGGTACTGGTGTTGGGCACGGCCCGCACGATCCCTCCGTGCATGGGCCATGGCTGACGGGCGAAGGCTGAGCGTTCGGCGGCGTGGGCGATGCAGGGTAGCGCCCACGAGGCGGCGGCGTCGTCTCCATTGGCGCTGGCGGCGGCGTAGCTGCTACTGGTGTAGGCGAGACCGCTGGCGTGGCTGGCGTAGGCGCACCATGGATCAAGGCAGGCTGAGGCGGTGCGCTCATCCCCTCCTGCCTGGTAAACCCCGCACTGGATGGTACGCTGGCACTTGATGTTGATGTCATCTTGGTGCCCTGGATCTCGGTGATGGCCATGCCGAGCTGGGCGATGTTGGCATCCTGCTTCTGGGCCATGTTTATCATCTGTGACTGAAACGCATGCATCATGGCCAATACCTGCATCTGGAAGGGGTCGGGCTGGTTGATCTGCTGCGGTGGCGGCGGAGGCGGGACAGGGCGGATCATGGGGTCGGACTTCCCTGGCTGCATGTGCGATTGGCCCATGGGCCTGGGCGGCATTGGCTGCGGGGGGGGCCCGTGCCCAGCGGCCTGGGGCGGCGGCGGCGGCGGGGCGGCGAAGGCCGCGGTGCCTGGCGGGGCGCCAGGCGGGGCGCCAAAAGCCGCGGCCTGCTGCTGGCCCTGCTCGGGCCAGGCGCCTTCTGGTAGGCCAGCGCCCATCCACTCCATGTCGTCGCCCACGTCGTCCTCGGCTTCGCGCTCGTAGGTCTCGAGCTCCTTGACCTCCTGGATGGAGTTGTTGATCATCTCAAGCTCGTGCTGAATGACCTGCTCCTCCGTGGCCAGGCGGTGCATCTGCTCGTGGACGGCCTTTAGCTTGTCGCAGGCCGTGTCGCGCATCGTCTTGAGCTTGCCGAGTTGGACGCTGGCTTTGTCCGTACTCTGGGCCATGAGCTTCATGCAGGATATCTCCGCAACTAGTGAGTCGATTCCTTTGCCCGCATCCCTGGCGACCAGTGCGAGCTGTCCGAGCGCATCCATTTTCTTGTAGATGCGGCTCTTGTAGTCTTTGATCTGGGCTGGGTCAGTCGGTGGCTCCTCCCATACTGTGGCCCATGGCTGCTGAATGGGGTTGCCCATTTGTGCACGCGTGATGGGCACAATGCGCGCCAGGAAGGTGCGGAGGGCCTTGGACCTCTGGGGCTGGTGTAGCTGGAGGGCTTTGTCCCTTCGCGGCTGACTGGGCTTACGGGGCGGGCGAGCATGCTGACGAGACGGCTGGACTGGCCACTGGTGCCCTGTGCCACGATTGAAATTGTTGTCATAGTGTAGCCCGCACAAGCACTTCCAATGATGTCCTTTCACAACACGAAAACAATTGGCGCAGTTCCACGTGCGCCCTGGCATCGGGCCTGCTGAGCGAGTTGTCATCTTCTGTACAGCGTTGGCCGAGTGATGTGCCTGCAGTAACTTCTTAGAAGTAGATAGTCGGACGAGCAGCCTGGCTATGCCTCGTCTCTGTCTGAGTCTGCGGTGCCAAGCTGGCTCTGGCTTCTCACGTTGACCTGCCGTCTTCACAGAATGTGCGGGGAGAAGGTTCGATACAGAGAAAGGGAACCAGGCGCGCGGCTCGCTGAGCACGCCTGAGGTTCGAGCTGCACCTGGCGACCACACCAATCTGAGGTGTCTCGGTGGTCACCAGGCTTTGGAGCCCAAACCTTCTCCTCCCCCTCCTCCTCCTCCTCCTCCTCCCCCTCCTCCTTCTCCTATTATTGCTCTTATTATTCCTACTACCACTACTATCGCTGCTTCTTTGGATTATGAGTATGATTAATATGATTGTGTGTACTCTTGTTCGTAGTATGAACATTAGTTTATGAATAGTCATAGTATGATTGATAGTAAACTTCTTCTGATCAGCATACTTATTCTTGCATTCCTAGTATTAGTCTTATTCTTCTTCGGAAACCGATTGCAAGCTCCAATATTCGAAAACGCAAGCGAAAACAACTCAAATAACTTCTGAGTGCAGCAGACTTCCCTGCTCATCGGACCAGGCTTTGAAGCCTGGAGGCACGCTGCCCGTTTCCGAAGCTTTGATCACCCTTTCCCCCACTCCGCCCGCAGCCTGGCATCTCAAAGCTTCGCCAGCTTCTTGAACTTAGGGGGGCCGCTGGCACTGGAGCCACTGCCTCGGCAAATGTCACACCAAGACGCAAAACACAACACACCCTTCGTGACCTGGACGCGGTGGATGGCGTGCAGGGGGACGACGGCGTACCGGTGCAGGCCGCCCCGAACCACCCCGCAAGATCACCGCCCCCCGGCCGACTCCCGCACTCTAAGCACCTGCACCCCCTGCGGCCCTTGCGGGGGCAGCGGACGGTGGCGCGGTGCGCCCTATCAGCAGCAGCGACGTGAGCGGCACGTCGCTCTGCTGCCGCCGCAATCCTGGCGGCTCTCGTCGGGGGGGCCGCGCCGAGCTGTTGCCTGAATGGCCACGTGCTGAGCCCCATCGAGCAAGTTGTCCTGCGCCTTGAAGCAGTGCCTCGCAACCTCTACGAGTCGAGCCACCTCGTTTTCCGGAACCTGGCCAGCGCGGCCTTCCACCTCAGGGAGGGCGTGGCCCCAATCCTCCGAATGTGTCGGCCTTCGGCGGGTCGCCAGCTCCTTCCAGGCAGAACGAGTCGCGCAGCGCCTGCTGTGGGTCCGTTTCCCCAAAAAGTTTGGACAACGTGGCATCCGTCGACCGCGAGTGTGAGGGGCCCTGAGGTGTGGATAAGGGCCTGAGTGGCGTCTCTGGGCTTGGCCATGGGCACCGTCTGCTCGCCCCCTGGCGAGGGTCCGCTACCCCGCCCCCGGAGGCTAGAGTCACGCATCACGGCGAACCCCCAGCACAGCGTCGCAGTCTGTCTGACCTCTGAGGGACATACCCCCCTGTGCCGTCCGAGCCCGCAATATCTCGCGGCTGGATCGGATGGGCCCTCCGCTCAAGGAGGCCAAGAAAACAGGGCGCACATCAACGCGCCTCAGCAATCTCCTGGGCCCAGAGCGTCGGGGGCAGGCCGCTGAGCCCGCGAGTCGGGGCCACCCCGACTCCAGCACGGGCCTTCCGAGGAGCTACATGGGCCCCCGTACCTTTCGGAGTGGGGGCGCTCTCTTGTTGCGTCGGCGGCTGGGCAGGAGGCGACTGCTCCGGCGATCGGGGATCGGGGGGGCGCACGAGGTGCAAACTGGGCCGCGGTGCACGAGGGGGGAGGAGGAGACCCCGGCGCGACAGGAAGAGGGGGGAAGCCGGGCCCGCTGAGGCAAGCTGCTGGCTGCGGCGGGAGGAGCGCGGCGGCACGCCCGCACGCGGTGAGCCAGCGGTTCCTCAGACGCACCACATCGAGGGCACTGGAGAGGACGTGGCCGGGGGGCCAGCATCGGGGGAGGGGGCCGGCCGGCCGAGCGGCAGGTCCTCGGCCTCGCCACAGGGCTGGCAGAGAGCACCCCCCAGAGCGGCTCGGCCCAACACGCGTCCGCAGTCGTCCAGCGGCGGGGGGGGGGCCCAGCAGCATCAGTAGCCTGCTGGAGGGCCCAGGAGTGGGGCGGCTAGCATCCCTGGCGATGGCCTCGCAAGCTTCGCCCGCGTCCTGGGCCGGCACTCCTGAGCCCCGTTCGCCGGCGGCCTCCTCCTAAGCCCCCCCCCATCAAATCCCATCCAAGCCCGACCCTGCGCTAATTCGGCCACCGTGCCCTCTGCGAGCACCGTCGGGGGCGCCGCGGCCTCATCGCAATCTCGTCGGCTTTTGAGCCTGCCCACATGCCAGCGAGCCCGCCCCCCATCTCCGGCCCTCCCCCTTCGCGGCAGCGACAGCTGGCCGGGGCCCAGGGCTGCGCCTCGACGGAAAAAGGCAGAGGCGCACTCGAACAGCTTTAAAGGGGCCCTGGGACACACAAATAAATACACACAAATAACCGGATTCCCCTATTGTTTCCTATATTTTCTGGGTTCTTGTCTTCCCCCCACTTCCCATAGTTTCCCATACTTTCCTGGGGGTCGACGATTCATTGTGTCTGTGTGTTTTTTCCCCTCCTGGAACTTATCTGCGTCTCCGCAGATCGGGAAACAGAGCCGATTCGCCGCCCCGGGGATCCATCAACCCAGAGCCCGCAGCGCAGGAACCTCCAGCCGATGCCCAGCAGGGCGGCGACCACGCCCCCCCCCCGCGCGGCCCCTGGCCCCCCCGCCTGGACTTGGTCCGGGGCGACTCGCGCCGCGCCTTTTCCCCGGCGAAGCTGGGCGTCGCGCGAGATCGCCTAGGTGGGTTGCCCGCCCACCCGCGCGCGAACAATGCGGCGACTGCCAAAAACGAGATGGCCCTACTTCGATGAGAGGGCCACGCGAACGGCAGTGGCTGCGTCATCTCCTTCCTTTCGAGCCCACCCGGGCCCAGACACCTGGGCTCGGAGCTTGCGGGGGGTGGTCGTTGCCGTGCCCATTCCTTCGAAAACCCGCGCTACTCGCGGGAGAAAACCAGTTTTCCCCAGCCTCGAGGCGGTGGGGCTTGACTTGGCTGCTTCAGCTACCATTTAGCCCTACCTCCTGGGGACCTCCTGGGGCTTCCTCCTGGGCCTCCTGTGGCCTCCTGGACCCCACCTGGGGCTTCCTGAAGCCTCTTGGGGCTCCCAGGGGGGATGTCTAACCTGTGGCCGCTTGGGCCTCTCCAAATGGAGGGGGGCACAAGAGCAGGAAAAATCAACGAATCGACACCGGATGTGAATTAACTTGACACGTTCTGATAGGCGGCCTCCTGGGGCCTCCTGGGAGCCTCCTGGGAATCTCCTGGAGACCCCTGGGGCCTGTCCTGGGCGTCCTGCGGCCTCCTGGTGCCTCCTGGGGCCTCCTGGGGACCTCCTGGAGCTTCCTCCTGGGCCTCCTGTGGCCTCCTGAACTCCACCTGAGGTTTCCTGAAGCCTCTTGGGGCTCCCAGGGGGGATATCTAACCTGTGGCCGCTTGGGCCCCTCAAAATGGAGGGGGGCACAAGAGCAGGAAAAATCAACGAATCGACACCGGATGTGTATTAACTTGACACGTTCTGATAGAGGGCCTCCTGGGAGCCTCCTGGGAATCTCCTGGGGGCCCCTGGGGCCTGTCCTGGGCGTCCTGCGGCCTCCTGGACCTCTCTGGGGCCTCCTGAGGCTCGCAGGGTCCCATGGAGGATATGTAACATGTGGTCTTCTGGGCGCCCAGGCTGGACCACCTCTCGCGCAGCATCTGAGAGCTCAGAGTTGCGAGAATGTCTTGTGCGAAACAGGCCGGACCACCTTGCGCACGGCATCTCAGAGCTCAGAGTTGCAAGGATGTCTCAGGCGAGACGGGCCGGACCACCTCGCGCAGGGCATCTCAGAGCTCAGAAGTTCGAGGATGTCTCAGGCGAAACGGGCCGGACCACCTCTCGCGCGGCATCTCCGAAGTCAGAGTTTCGAGGATGTCTCAGGCGAAACGGGCCGGACCACCTCGCGCAAGGCATCGCAGAGCTCAGAGTTTCGAGGATGTCTCAGGCGAAACGGCCCGGACCACCTCTCGCACGGCACCTCGGGGCTCAGAGTTTCGAGGATGTCTCAAGCGAAACGGCCCGGACCACCTCTCGCGCGGCGTCCCGGAGCGCAACTTTTCGAGGATGTCTCAGGCGAAACGGCCAATCCCGGCCAACTCAGAAACGAGAGTTGTGAGGATGTCTCAAGCGAAACGGCCAAAACCATAAAATTTGTGTGAGGATGTCTCTGCTCCGCCTTCCCTCGGCCGGAGTTAGTTTCTATCACAACAGCACCCCGTTCAGCAAGCTGTTTGGGGAAAAAGACAAGATTCAGGCATGGTCAATAATATTAGAAAAATTATCCACAGACTACGTTTTGACTATTTTTGAATAATCCCCCCTGTGCAGGGACGGGCCCGACTTACGGCTATGTCCACGCAGGGGCGACCGTGGGCCAAAGTGACCTTTGGTGCGCGTGGCATGCCGACCGCTCCATGCGATACGACAGCAGCGGTCTACGTGCTTGGGCACGTCCTCCCTCTCCTCCTCCCTCTCCCCCATCCTCCTCCTCCTCCTCCTCCTCCTCCTCTTCCTCCCTCCTCCTCCTCCTCCTCCTCCTTCTCCTCCTTCTCCTCCTCCTCCTCCTCGTCCTGCTCCTCCTCCTCCTCCTTCCTCCTCCTTCCTCCTCCCTCCTCCTCCTCCTCCTCCTCCTCCTCCTCCTCCCCTCCTCCTCCTCCTCCTCCTCCTCCTCCTCGTCCTGCTCCTCCTCCTCGTCCTGCTCCTCCTCCTCCTCCTCCTCCTCCTCCTCCTCCTCCTCCTCCTCCTCCTTTTCCTCCTCCTCCTCCTCCTCCTCTTCTTATGCGTTTGCGTTCCCGAAAGGCCGCGCACCAAAGGCCACGCCGGCGAAGGGCCACTCTTCCGTGCAGCCAACATCGCCTCAAGGAACAGAGACCCGGGATCCAGGAGGACAGGGAGGAGAAAAAAGCAGAGGGAGCAGCAGAGCAGGAAGGAGCAGAAGCAGAAGACGAATGAGAAGAACAGACAAATAGAGAGCGAGAGAGCGAGGAGAGGAGCGTCTCGCGCGACGACTACGAGAGGACGACGAGAACGACGGCCGCCGCGCCCGGAGGGTCCTGAGGGAGACGTGCCCTGGCCCGAGGGGCTTTCCCGGGCATCAGCTCCTCACCCTGAGAGACGCTTTCTGGCGGTCGTGGCGGTGCAGGGCCCACGGGGTCCAAAAGACGACGAAGACGCCCCGAGATCCGATTCCTCCGGGGCAGGTTCCTCCGCCCGGGCGATCCTCCCCAGACGCGTCCGTGGGCGGGCCCTGGCGATTCGCCTGAAGCGTCCTGGTCGTTCTGGTCCCGAGGTCCGAGGTCTGCAAACAGCTTCCAGGGCGGAGGGCGGGCCGCGTTCCAATGTTTCCTCTCGCCTTCGCGCCTGCGCGCGCTCGTCTTCGACAGAGACAGCCGTTCAAAGGGATGGAGGGCGGGCCGTGTTCAAAATGCGGTTCTCGCCGTAGCGCCGCAGTCTTAAAGGTTTGCAGCGGCTTCAAACATGGAGGGTGATTCCTTTTCCAAACGTGGCCCTCACCCTATCCCCGCGCGCATTCGTTTTACACATAAACGAAAAAAACGTTTCTGGGATTCGTAGGGCTGAAGCGCCAAGAGTGGTTTTCTGGCACGATGTGGGACTGCCAGGACTCAACAGTCGCGCTGACTCGCGGTGTTGCAGTGCCCAGAACGGTGTGCTGTGTGCTGGCACGATTTAGACTTGTCAGGGCGTAACTGTCATGCTGATTCGCAGCGTTGACGTCCCAAGAGGGGTTTGGCACGACTGAGGACTCCGGCTATCTTTCGCTGGGGCACTTCCGACAATGAACACAGGCACTGGTAGGGACCAGACCTGTGAGGAGGGAACTTGGAGAGAGAGAGTTTATCACAGCATCGTTCGTGCGTCTTGGGATTACGCTGATCCTCCTGGGGGGTCACATGCGAAGCCTACCCCTACCCCCCACGATTTCTGAGGGGAGGGGTGGGGTTCACTCTGCTCGGGAGCTCCCGAACAAAGTGAACAACCCCACCCTCCCCCTCAGAAATCGTGGGGGGCAGGGGTAGGGCGCGCATGTGGCCCCCCCTACCTCCTCCTCCCTCCTCCTCCTCTCCTCCTTCCTCCTCCTCCTCCTCTCCTCTCCCCCCTACCTCCTCCTCCCTCCTCCTCCCTCCTCCTCCTCCCTCCTCCTCCTCGCCCTCCTCCTCCCTGTCGTTGGGTGGTCGGCTGCGCGCCACAAAAATGGGACCCCCAGTGCGCGGCTTCCGGGGGTGCGCGCGGGGCGGCTGGGCCCGCGCGCGCGGGAAGCAGCTGCCGCGCCTCGCATCGAGTGTCCGGGGGGCCCCCCGTGGGCCCGCACCGGAGGCCGCTCGCGCGTGCGGCATCGTGCGCGGCCGGAACTCCGAGGCGTGCTGTCTCCTTTCCCGGACGTCGGCCCCCAGAAACTCTGGACCCATTCCCCGTGGGCCAGGGTCAGTTCTTCGTCCCAGATCGTGTTTTGACGGTCCTCCGGAAGAGGCTCGCTCTCGACCCGCGGATCAAATGTTTTGACGGTCCACGGGCCCGCGCCGACTCCAGATCCGCCGTGCTCCTTGAGCGATTCCACAAGCAGGGCCGCAATTCCCACCCTGCTTTTCAAACTCCGTTGATGCCGATTTCCGCCCGACCTTGCCATCTCAAGTTCCGCCACACTTTAGCGGAAATGTCCGCCATAATTTTCTGAGGCGGCAAATTCCGCCCTGCTTTTTCGCATCGTGTGGGGTGCATTTCCGAGACAGTCGTAAGTCGAAAAGTACGGCGGACCCAGCGTCAGGGCGGTGAGGGCCCCCGAAGGTCGAAAACGACCAAAAGGCTTTCGTCCGTTTTGTTTACCGCGAGAAGGGGATGGGGTTCGTACAATCGAGGTCAACTTGAGAGGACACGCGGGAGGACACAATACCCTTCAGAGGGCCAAATTGACATAGGAATGCAGAATGGCGTGGGTCTCAAACACAAGACACAAGGGTACCCTTGATTTGGCAGAATCGGCCGGCTAGCCAGTCTCGACGGTACGCGCACGAGACAATTGTGCATGCCCTGGCGGTAACGGGCGTGTCCGGGGGCAAGGGAGGAAGGAATGGGGAGGGGGCCAGTCACGTCGCCAATCGCGCTGGCGTCGTCTGACGCTGAGATCCGACGCTCCCAAAAAACTGGAGCGGCTGGATTTTGATAGTTTTCGGCCTCTGGGAGCCCTCAACGGGCTTTGGCGCTGCGCATCAATGCGGAGCCCGAGTTTCTCCACGCTGGCGGCACCGACGCATCGCAGACACATCGCTGACGCATCGTTGACGCGTCGGCGATGCATCGGTGATGTCTCGGCGATGCAGCGCGACCATCCGACACCATCTACGCCGACCCCATCTGGAAGGCCTCCAAATGCACGGGGCCCAAAGGTATCCACCACCACCACCTCCCTCGCCCCCTCCCCCTCCCCGGACAAGAGGAGAGGAAGACGAGGAGGGAGGGGGGGAGGAAGAATCGACGTTGGTGGTGGCGGTGCATATCCCTGGGGCCCGCAGAACGGCCGATTTCGGAACCCCTGAGCCCACAAGCGCTCTCATCCCTTGAGGGGGCACGCGTCTTGCTGCCGCCGCCCTCTCGCCGGGGGGGCCCGCCGGCCTCCGCCGCCCGGAGGCGGCCTCGTCTTGCCTCCGCCGACCTTCCGCCGCCCCCCCGCCGCGGAAGAGGTGACGGCCCTCTTCGGCCCTCGAGGGCGAGGCCCTCTCTGGAACGCCCCATGTGTAGGAGACCAAGACACAGGATGCTCAGGCAAGGCGGGGGGCTTCCGAGAGGGCCGGGGTCTCTCTAGGAGCAGGCCCAGCTTCTGAGACGCCCTCTGAGAAGCGCCCTGTCTCCTTCAAAGGCCCCCCTCTCGCGCCACCCCCTGTCTTCGATCCTCGAAGGCAGCGCCATTGTTAGAACGCCCCAAATAAAAACGGGCTCTGCCCAGAGCAGGGCCCCCGCCGCCTCCGCCGCGGGGATGGCGGGGCTCAGGGAGTGGTGCTCCAACAGCTCGGAGGTCGCCTCGCAGGGCGGGGCCGCTCGCGGCGCGGCGGGCAACGGGGAAGCGCACAGCAACCCCTCGAAGAGGGGGGTGGCAGGAGTCGACGGTGTCTTTCTCGCTGGAGACACATCATGTAACAGGTATGGGAAGTCAGAGTGAGGAGGCCGAGCGGTCATTCACTGTCCCTGGGTGCGTGGCTGAAGTGGGATTCCGCGATGCGTTGTTGGTGGTGGTATTGGTGGTGTTGTTGGTGTTGTTGTTGATGTTGTTGTTACTGCCGCTGTTGTTGATGATGTTATTGATGATGCTGCTGTTGTTGTTTGTTGATTGGTGGTGATTGTTTGTGTGTTTGTTTGTTTGTTTGATTGATTGATTGTTTGTTGTTGGTGGTGGTGGTAGTGGTGGTGCTGTTGATGTTGTTGGTGGTGGTGGTGTTGCTGCTGTTATTTGTTAGATGTTTTTTGTTTGTTGTTTGGCGTCGTCCCACCCACGACCCGCCCCGCGACCCACCCGCGACCGATGCCGCGAGCCACCTGGCGACCCATCCGCAACCCACCCGCGCCCGCCCGAGACCCACTCCGCGACAAACACCGCGACCCACCCAACGACCCGCTCCGCGAGCCACCCGCGACCCAACCGCAACCCACCCGCGACCCGCGACCCACCCGCCACCCACCCACGACCCGCGACCGACCCCGCGACCCACCCCGCGACCCACCACGCGACCCGCGACGCACCAAGCGACCCACCACGCTACCCACCCCGCGACCCACCCCGCGATTCACCCGCGACCCACCCGCCACCCACCCGCGACCCACCCCGCGACCCGCCAGCGTCCCACCCGCGACCCACCTGCGACCCACCCCGCGACCCACCCGCGACCCACCCGCGACCCGGCCCGCGAACCATCCGCGACCTACCCGCGACCCACCCGCGACCCACCTGCCAGCCGTGCCGCGACCCACCAACATTGCTTCTACAAAAACATTGGCCCCCCCGCGGCGGGCTCGTTGCACAATTTGCAGAAATTTGGCGCCTGCGGCGGGTTTCTTCAACGTCCCCGCCGCCTCCTCACTCTCATCCGGAACTGCGGGGGGCTGCGCAGAAAAAGAAAGACGAAAGTAAGACCGATGATGGGAATGTTTCCCCGCAAATAGCGAACACATAACGTCTGGGCAACTGGGGCGCGCGCGCGCCTCTCGGCACCCACGCGGCGGCGGGAAGATGCTATGAAAACCGACTCTGAGACCACCCAGCATGGTTCGCTTAAACCTGGGAGGGAGAGACAAAGATAAGCGTGCATCTCCCACAAATGATAGCACGCGCGGCACTGACAGCAACGACGCAAAAGGAGACGGATGAAGAGGCCCGCGCGCGCAGCTGAAAGGACAGAGATGTCCCGAGCAATTCAACGAAGGGTGACGAGTATAATATCGCACGACGCACAATTTCGAGTCATGACAGAAGGAGGAAGGCACCCCATGATAATGAAGCACGACGTTCCTCCTCGGCCAACAAACGAGATCGGCATCGCCGCTGACATTGGCTGCCAAGACCAGGGCCAACATCACCGTTCGAATGGCTTCTTTTCGCGCAAGTCAGATGAAAGAGGCGCGCGCAAGTCGGCGGCGAACTGAAAAGTGAAGCGAGGAGCATGTTCAACGAATCGAAGCACAGATTTCCCCACCGGTGACAAGAATGCTCCACAAGTGCGGTCGCAAATTTCCTTCGCTGATAAATCAAGAGAGAAGATGTGGCATTGCGTTGCTCTCACCGCCACTCCTTTCGGGACTGTCAGCATGCCCCGTGTCCGGAGGCGTTGCCGCGGAATGGGGCGAACGCCTTGACCTCGCGTCGAAATTCCTGTCTGCCCAGAAGTACCTCCAAAAACGCCTATCTGTCAACGCTACCCTTAGTACGCCCATCTGCTGCAATGTCACGCGCGCCGCACCATCGCGCGTTACGTGGCGATTCCTCGTAGATGGAAAGCAGCACTTTGATGGACAGCCCGCCCACATTTTCGGACACCTAAGATGGCATGCGCTACTGGATTTTAGCTCTTGCAGCGCAAGCAAAGTCGGGTACCATTCGTCCAAATCGTGGGCTACTGCAGGTGCTTCAGCCGCATTACTCGATTGGAGTCGCAGTGGGTGAAATTTGCAGAGGCCGTCTACAAGGTGCATGATGGGCTCTTGTTTTGGCGAGATACCCCACCTCATGAGATGAACCCCGCGCGCCCCACTTTCCTTCTCATTGTCTTCTCCGTCGCCGGTAAATGTTCGGCACCCCGAGTCGTTGCGCGGATCGACTTCCCCCGGAAATTTCATTGTGGGGTTCGCTTCCTGAGGTCGCTCATGAGTTTCCTCGTTGCAGCCTTGAGCCACCTAACTTGGACGTTCCCAAGGGCCCTCGAGATTCGCCCAAGAGGCCCGCCAGCAACCTCCCAGAAAACCCCAGCTGCCCCCAAGAGGTCCAGGCCTGCTCCCCGCCCCCCCCCCCCCCCTTCCACGCCCTTCTCCTCTCTTGCTTCCTGCCCGACCAGTCTATATTGAATATGTCCCTTGAGGCTGGCGGAATGGCTTGGGCCTCTTGAGTATTTCTCGCACTCATCGGTTGAGCGGCTGGAAAGAAATGCTGCAATGCCACTCCCCCATTCCTTTGCGCCCCATCCGCCCCCTGGTATCACGCCGCTCTCTGCGAGGAGGTTTCGTCGCAGATCGTCGAGATCACCGTTTGGAGCGCTGGGCTGCCCGAAACAAGCGTTCGGCAGCCTCGCCTCCATCCGCGACATGAATTGTGTCAGACCAAGCCAGGTCCCCCATGCCGTTTGAAGATTGTGTTTCGGCGTCAGTGCCAGAGTCGCTCGGAACTCCAGGAGGACGCCGAGGCTCTCGTGTCTCCCCACAGGACGACAGAAAGTTAAGTGTCCCAAGCCTTGAACGTACGGGGAGTTGCCACTTACTCGGGAGGACGGCGCAGGGCTTCCGCCCGCAGGCCCTCGAGCAGTTTGGAAAGGGCCGTCTCCAGGTACAGGCTGGTGTGCTTCGTTGGCCATAAGGTGTCGACATGCATGGTGCCTCGTCCATTTCCTCGGCCTCGGCCGGCGATGCTTCCGATGTTGGGAGCTCTTTTGATGATGCGGCCCATAGGTCATGCCCGCCCAACTAGGTCACCATGCTGTTGTTGGGTGCGGGGCCTCTGTCCGCTGAGTGGCTGCAGCCATGGGATGGTTCTCTGTGGAGCAGTACCTAAGGCCCGAAATAATATGGTGGTGAGTTTTTGGGAATTTGGGATATCGAAAGCCACAGATTGGGTCTCCAATCGTGCGAGTTCGCATGTGGCTAGCGTCTCGTCTGTTCGTTCCCCTGGGTTTACATGGGGGTCGGTCCGCTGGATCCCCGTGGTCAACTGCCTCTCGTTTTCGAGCTAACAGAACCTTGTTCTCAGGACGAACAGAAGGTGAACGACGGGAGTCGTCTGGGCCAAGTCTGCCTCAACTCCGAATTTGATGACGTTGCTGGGATGATCATCGCAATGTGGCATGCTGTGACGCCTAGGCCGCGCTGAAGCGCAGCTCTCTGCTGTTGTGAAGTATTGCGTCCGCTTGAACTTCGAATGCCCAATCTCGAAGAGATGCGTTTCGTTGCCGGGGCAATACGGTATTCGCGCGCTTGCGTCGTCACTTCATCTGTGCATGTAGCCGATAGCGGCTCCAAATGCAAGCCAAATGGCCGCAATCATTATACATTGGTATTGGTTTCTAGTAAAAACATTCGACGTCGTATGACTTTTGGGGTTCAGTTTTCAGGTTCCCTGCAGAGAGGCCTGTTTTCAGGCAGTTTGTTTCCAAGCGCGTAAGTTGCAGGAACTTTTTTCGGTTGCACACATGGCTTGTAGCGGTATTGAATGGCACGGCCAAAACTGGCACAACCTCGGTTCCAAACGACCTCATAAATCGTGTCCAGACTTGAATAGGACTGGTCGTTTCCGACGTCATCGGATCGCTTTCGACTGCCATTGTGCACGTACGATTCCTCGGAGAAACTTTCGGAAGGCCGGCGCTGGTAGACCGTTCTGGCTGGTGTAAAGCAGAGACAATAAGGCGGGAACCAACATGAGTAGGCACGCTCCACTACCAATCCAAAAGAACTACATCATGTAGAAGGTATGGGGTGTATAGTCATAAGGATAGATGTAGGATCGAGGCTGGGAATGCTTCCCCGAACGAGCACCGAATGTCTGGGCATGTAGGGCGCGCGTGCCTTTTCGGCACCCGAGCCCAAAAGGCGGTGGGTTGATACTACATCCCTAGGCCGATTTTTTCCTTTTGGAACGTAGATATGACAACACCAATGGATCAATTTGGATCCAGTTCTCGGTGTGTAACAGTTTCGTGGGTCCATTGTCTGTACTGCACGGATGCAATTTCTCGTGTGTGAAAAACCAACGGAACGATTATTTTGCTAGGGTCATGTTCAAGAACAATTAATCTCCTGGACCCACCGGATCTTAGATCCACGGGGCGCCGCACGTGAGGCATGATGCTATACTGCACGGAGCTGTGGTTTTGCAGACCAACGTTATGATTATATGGGGAAGGGTTTTCCCAAGGTGGAGAGACGGGAAGAGGGATGAGGCAAGTGGAGGGCAGAGGAGGAGAGAGGGTGACGGAGGTAAGAGGGGGACATACGAGGACAAATGAGGAAGGAGGGGGGGGAGGGAGGAGGGATGAGGAGGGAAGAGGAAAAGGAGGAGGGGGAGGAAGGACGGAGGCGGATGGAGGAGGCAGATCGGGGGGGGAGGGGGCGAATGACGAACAGGATGAAGAAGAAACGGAGGAGGGAGGACGAGGAGGACGAAGACAAGCAAAGTGTCAAAGTCGGAAGCTCGAGCTCCACAGCGGGCCCAGCCACCTCCCCTGACCCCTCTCATAACATGTGGGTGTTCGAGCGCCACAGCGGGCCTGGCCGCTACACAAGCTCCTCCCAAAACATACGGTTGCTCGAACGCCAGTGGGCCCGGCCAACGTCCCGCATCTCCTCCCGTAACGAGTGGCACGCCCCGATTCGAAGCGAGCACAACATACATCCGTTCACTTGAACGGCACGGCGTTCCCGAGAGGAAGATCTTTCGGCCCGCGTAAATACATAAGCCTATCCCGAAACCACCCAATATGGTTCCCTGTAAGCGGAGGGAAGATCTAGATCCCGTTTCCTTGTTATTCGCGATGACGCCTGTGACCGGCCCCGCCACCACCCCTCATCCCTCCCCCATGGTCACGTCACGATTCGCCCCGGTGCCGTCTGGCTGGCAGTGGGACATTAAGCATTTCCAGACGGCGCCAGCGCGAATCGCGACGTGACCAGCGCCCTCCCCCCCTCCCCACCCCGGTCACGCCCGTTATCGCCACGGGATAAAAAGCAGCTTCCTGAGGTACGAGAGCGGCCCCCACCTCCTGCCGCAGAGTGAGACTCGCGGCGTGGGGGGTTTTCGCTGATGTCGGCCCCCAGGGGCCCTCACTGGGCCTCGGGACCGTCAGGAAACGACCCGGGTTGTAGAACTGGTCCCGGGGAAGGGGTCCAGACATGTCCAGACTTCTGGGGGTCGACGTTGAACCAAAAAAATGGCGGCGTCGGAACTCGAAGGACGCCCGTGCACCGCACCATGTTTGGCCGCTCTTCAGGCCCCGCTCCGACGCGGTGCGATGCACATTTTTTCGGCTCCGAGGGCCGAGAAGCCGTACACCGTACCTGAGTATCGTTTAACCGATCCCCATCCCCAGCGGCGTGGCCTGGGCCCCGCTGGCCGATCTACCCCCCTAGATAAAAATACAAATTGTTCCCTTCGGGCTTCGAGGGGCAGATCCCCAACTGGGGGGGTAATTTGGTGGGGGTCTCGAAGGGGATGGGGATGGGGATGGGGGCCGGATAAACGACACTGAGTACCATCCCCGCCTCGCGTTGACGTCCGCCGGCCTTCCGCGGGCGGAGCCGCCCCTCGAGGCACTCCTGCCACACTGCGCTGGCCGTCCGCCGAGGCAGAGCTGTTTCCCCTTCGATCACGAGAGAGAGAGAGAGAGAGAGACCTCTTTCTGGAGCGCCCCAGATGGCTGTGGCTTTGGGGTGCCACGTTGGCAATACTGTAAGGTGCCTTGGCCGGAGCTGCACCTGGAGTACCGGTGCCACCGTCCAACGGGTTCGCTCCGAGGTCGGGGTGGCGAGAACCCGCGGCCCGCGGTCGTCTGCGCAGCGTCTGCAGGCTCTCACCCCCGCCGCATCCGAGCACTGTCGGTTCGCGGAGGCCGCGCGCGAACTGCACGCGGAGGCTGCGACGAATCCCTTTGTTTGCTCGGCGCTGCGCGCCAAGCAAGGCCCCAGATGTCAAGGATCAGTTGCCGCACAGGTGTATCGTAGGCTCGCCGGTCACAAAGAGGTACTGCCGAGAAAGGAAAATGTTTGCACCACTTGCTGCGAATCGGGTGGCACTGCTGCTCCCCCACGCCCCCGACTTTAACATTGATGGTTGTAACATCTCCCGGGGCCATTCGAAAAAATAAACATACATTATATATATATATATATATATATATATATATATATATCAGCGTGCGCGTCCGCTCTCAATGTTAAAGTCGGGGGCGGGGGGGGTCGAATCATCAGTTGTCGTGCCGCCCAGGTGGTGCAAACTTGTTTCTTTCAACCATACGACTGAACTGTCCGTAAGCCGCCGTGGCACACATTCGAAGGCTGCCGTGCAAATGAGATTGAAGCCATGCGGGCTCGGGTGCCGTGACCAGGACGTGCCGACGCATCCCTGAGCAAACGCAGCCACTTTGTCAGAAGCTGGAAACTGGAGTTCCGAGCACTGGAGGCGAACCCACAGATCTTTAAGTATACTTTCACATTGTGCATTTCCTACGAAGCTGGTCCCCCAACTGTTTTTGATCATCACCTCAAGAAAATAAGCTTGAGGAGAACTATGATGGCGAAGCTTCGGAACGATGCACGTCGAGTCCGCCAGCGTGGCTTCTGGCAGACGGAACGTGTCCTGTCGAAGCATTCGGCCGATGCCTTCTCACACGATTACAAGCTGCTGGCCTCCACCGATGTGGATACGCATTCGTGTAGGACAGTGGCACAGCACTTTCAATTGCTAGATTTATCTGGATTTGTCGACCGCCACAAACTGGCTGCAGACTTCATCCAAAAGCCTTTCGCTGACCTGCTTTGTGGGGCTACTGATGCCGACCTGCACTGACTGCCGCACCTCTAGCCATTCCCCCTGCTGCATCTGCTGCTTCAGCCTCATCCGCCTTTCCTCCTCCCATTTCTCCCGCGAAGGCAGAGGGAAAGATGGAATACACATCGTGCAAAGAAATGTTCTGCCAATGCTTACTCTCTGCAGCCGAGCCCGCCCTTCCTGATCATCCCCCAGCCCTCAAACGCAGGAGTCGCTCGCCGACAAAGGCGGCTCCAGGTCGGTAACGCTCAGCGCTGGAGACGCCTGCCGCCCCGGTCCCCCTCCCCCTCCCCCTCCTTCTCCGATTCCTCATGCATCCTCCCCCTCTTGGGGTATGACGGCTTCCCCAGCCCTTTATTCCAGTGTATGCTCCTCCGCATCCCTGAGCAGAGCAACTCGTCTGGACATCTTTTCTGGTTAGGCTGGTGAGTTTACGGGAAGCGTGCAGGATGAATGGTCTGCCGATGCTTACCCTCTACAGCCGAGCTCGCTCTTCCGGCTCATCCTTCGGCCCTCAAACACAAGAGTCGCTCGCCGACAGAGGCGGTTCTATGTCGGTAGCGCCCAGCGCTGAAGACGCCTGCCTCCCAGGTAGGTCGATTCACGCTGCCCTTGCCAGCGGATTTCTGCAGTCCACCTCCCGCAATACAGCAAGCACATGCGATCAGACATCTTGCTATGAGAAATACTGGAGCACATTCTCCGTCCACCTTCTTTTCCAAGCAGCAAGTGGGGGAGCCCGAGCAGCGCGGGAGCGCGGCGCGGTGGAAACTCTGAGTCGCCGGTGCTCTGGCAACGGCGGCCTACTGTGTCTCCAGCGAGGGCGCGGGCTGCCCATCCCGGAGGAGCGCCGTCGCCAGCTCGATGGACTCGGAACAGCCGAGGTTCTCGAAGAGGTCGAACAAAGACGCCTCCCGGCCGTCGTGGGACACGACCGGGTCCGACGACCAGCTCTTCAGGGTGGCGACGGGCACGTGACTGCGGATCAGCTCCCGCCCGAGCGGGTCGTCCTCGAACGAGATGCCGAGCCAATTGACGCGCTCGACCATTGCCTCGAAGGCGCTGGCAGACGCGTGCACCGCGTTCTCGCCAACGTGGAGCGGGCCGCGGAGGCCGAGGCTCCTCCAGTGGTCGCGGAAGTAGCCCCGCAGCGAGCCGGGAACAGCGTCCTCTGGGTGTGTCGCGCCCAAAACGTTCTGCCGGAACTCGCCCCAAGAGGTGTCGGCGGCTTTCCACTCGACTACATACCAGTGCACGGACTTCCCTGGGCGAGTGTAGGCGTCACGCATCGCCATGTAGAATCCGTTGACGACAAACAAGGAGTCGATCTTACCGCAATAGAACCCGCCGCCGAACTTGACCTTGCCCTCGTTGAGCTTCAAGGGTGCCCACTTGATGCCCAACTGCTGCTCATCGAGGTCGAGGCGCTCCATTGCCTCGCGCGCGTTGCAGACGCACTCGCTTGCGAGGGCCTCCGCCCAGGAGCGCCCGAAGGCGGCCTCGAAGGCAGCAGTGGCCTCCGGCTGGACCACGAGGTCCCTGGGGCACAAGTCCATCGCCTTCGCGGCCAGGCTCCTGTAGTGCTTGTCGATGACCCGATCGCGGTCCATCTCCAGCGCCGTCAGCTTCCCCTCGGCCACCACGCGCACGCCAGAGCGTGCCAGGAGCTCCTTCGTGCACTGGCGCCCCTCCTCAAAATTGGCGTGCGGCTTCACGAAGAGGAAGGCCACGTCCCCGCCGTCGGCCAGGGCCACCGCCAGCCTGGCGACCTGCTCGGAGGTCAGGCGCCCCAGCGGCCCCCGCGGGCTCTCCCTCGCCTCCTCCGGGAGGGCGCGCCCCCGAGGGGCCACCAGCTCGCGGGCGCAGCGGGCAGCGCCCTGCGCTCGCCCCTGGCTGCCCGCCCTCGGCGCGGGGCCCGTGGAGACCTGCTCGGACGGCAGGCCCTGGCAGGCCTGCTCGGCGACGCACGCCCGCTGGATCAGCTCACTGACGTTCTCCACCGCGGCGCCGCGGGCGCAGGCCCGCCGCGCCGCGCGGAGGCGCAGCGCCTTCTGCGGGCAATGGCGGATGGCTGCGGCCAGGAGGCCGCCCACTGCCGCCGTGCCCACCTGCCGCGAGAAGGCCAGCATCCGCGGCCTCGCGGGGTCCGCCAAGCACGGGCCGCAGTGGCCCCGGCCGGCGAGCGGCGGCGGCGGCTGCGCCCGCCGCGGGGAGGCACCGACTGCCGGAGACCCCACGGCGGGCATGTGAGCATCGCCGGCCGCTCCGAACTCGACTCAAGCCGAAGCAGCTTGAGCCAACGGAACATTCTCCATCGATTTCAGAAGGTCCCAAGGTGCCCCTGAGCTTCCGTGGGTCTCTGCGGCTGTGGGGTGAGAAATGCCCGCGGCGCACCTGCTGGCAGGCGGATTTCATAATTCCTGTCCCTCGCCAGGCGAACTCGCATCCGCTGGCTAGCAGCCGCAGAGGGGAAGAGGGCACAATGAGAAAGAGAGGCAGAGAGAGAGGGAGAGAGAGAGAGAGAGAAATACGCAAGCAGTATACTCTTCATGCTTCCATCCTCCCTCCTTACGGCCAAAATCGTCCGCCCCCCCTCTTCAACTCCTCCGCCCTCCTCCGCCCTCCTCCGCCCTCCTATTCCTCTTCCTCCTCCTCCTCCTCCTCCTCCTCCTCCTCCTCCTCCTCCTCCTCCACGCCTCCACGCCTCCTCCACCCTCCTCCCCCATCCCGCTCACTCCCCCACCCTTCCTCCTCCTTCCCCCGCCCCCCCCTGGCTCGTCCTCCACTATCATATATGATCCCCCTTTTTCTCTTCCCACTACTTTCCCCATCGAAGTGATAATTGCCTTCGAACGGATCAGACATTATGTATGTATGTGTGTATGTATGTACGTATGCATGTATGTATGTGTGCATGTGTGTATGCATGTGTGTGTATGTATGCACATATATATATATATATATATATATATATATATGTGCGGGCGGGATTATGAGCGCAAGCTCTTCTGGGATAAAGGCACTTATAGATTACTCCCTGTTGGCCAAAGCTGTTGAAAGAGCTTAAGATCCCGCGGAAACGACGGCACCAGCACGTGCGAGCCTCAGAACTCACCCCCAGGCCACGGCAAGAATCACACCTTAAGGAACTTAAGTGCACCACCGTCGCCAAGCGACCGGGGTCAGAACGCTGCGGAACCCCAAGGGGGGAGGAGACTCGCACCGAACCGCGCCAAGAAGACCGAGAAGCTCTCCTAGCTCACGCGATTCTTTACACAGATGAACAAGTTTGAGAAGCGTCACGGGCGTACGGCACAGAACAGGGCGGCAAGCGGGAGGGCCGAAACAGCTGCCGCGCGATCGAATACGGCCAACAAACACTCGCCCCTTTTGCCCAGACATCAACCGTAAACGTATGTATGCGTGTGCGAGCGAGGTTATGAGCGTAAGCTCTTCTGGAATAAAGGCATTTATATATTACTCCCTGTTGACCAAAGCTGTTGAAAGAGCTTAGGATCCCGCGGAAACGACGGCACCAGCACGTGCTAGCCTCAGAACTCACCCTCAGGCCACGGCAGGAATCACACCTCAAGTGCACCACCGTCGTCAAGCGACCGGGGTCAGAACGCCGCGGGGCCCCAAGGGGGGCGGAGACTCGCACCGAACCGCGCCGAAAAGACCGAGAAGCTCTCCACTCCCAAGAACACCAAGCTCCCGAAGAAGCTCTCCACCGTGTTCCAAAGATGGCTGAAAGTCGCCCAAATATTCTCGCTACTGGCCTGAAGGTATACAGTACGCCCCGACACGGGCTATTAAAGTATCTGAGTAACTCTGACGCGAGGATCGGGCATTCTGCTGGAACTGCATATCAGCTAAAATTGCGGCCCCATCCTGGATATAAATCTACGCCGTCCTCTGAGCGCTCCAGCGGCCTCGAACCATGACCTTATAAATCACCAGACAGCAGATACTCACGGGCAACCCTGTCCCTTCGAAGACGATAAGGGACGAGGGAGAGATGCTTACAACCAATCTGCCGCAGGCCAGTGCGAATCATTGAATGAAACGCGCGAGGCGAGGCGGGCCAAACTCGGCCATCGCGCTGCAACTGCACGTGAACGACCGCTCCTACGAGCGGATCGTCCAGCGTTCTGTCTCGCGCGCGCCCTTCTGACAGGCAGTCTCTGTCCAGGGTGACGACACGACGCCGCGGCCGCAAGGCTTCAGCTGGATGGCGCCGCCGGAGAGGCCGAGGGCTTTACCCGCCCGAAAGCACAGGTGGAAGCCCGCCCGCACTGTTGCCGCGAACGCGACCTCTTTGCGCCCCAGCGCCCAGCTAGCTAGCGCACTGCAGACCAGCGGGAACTTTGGCGGAGCACGCTGAGACACCTGCAGGCGGCCCCAGATTGACAGCACAATTCGAGCGCCACCCAGCTTCCCCAGTCCAGATCTGGCGGCGTGCTGATTGGAAGGGCTACTCCGCTTACTCATCCTTCAGGCGCGACGGGGCGTCTGCGGGGTTCCTGGCTGAAGAGGTGAAGCCGAGCGCTGCCCGCGCGCCCATCGCCAGCTCCCAAGCCGAGAAACTGCGCACCACCTTATTGAGCTGACTGCTGCTAGAGCGGTGCTTGGGGAGAGCACCGATGCTGACCAGACTGTCGAGTAGGTGTTAGAAGACACGCTGTTGACGCCCCAGAGATGAGCACGCCATCGAAACATTATCAGGGCGCTCTGGCACTCCAATGCACTAATGTGCCCTGGAACGTCCCATACCAGCTGTCGAGCTATACGCCATTGCCAAATACCTGCGCCAATCTCCTGCAGAGGGAATGTATTGTCGAGCTCCTCGGAGCTCCCGTCTGCACGTATATCTGCACCATGATTCATGACCAGCCTTCGCGAGACATCTGAGACTCTCCAGGAAGTCGCATCACGCCTGGCCAGCACGGCAAGCAGCGCGTCCGCGTGGCAGGGCGCCGCCTGCCCGCAGTGGCACGCAAGGGTAGCCTCGCGCAGGTCCTCCAGGCGACCCAGCAGCTGCGGCTGTCCCCGCAGCCAGCCCGCGAACAGCGCCACTGCGCTTCGCCAGCAGCTCGGGCTGATGGCAAATGGGTTGCCCCAGCAGGAACGCTCCAAGCTCCAGCGCCGCGAGCCACGGCCGACGTAAACCACCGCTGGCGGTCCCTGGCTGGCGCGCCCTGCAGCTGCCACCTCCAGCTCGCGGGAGACCTGCCCGTCGAGCATCGCGCGTCCGCAGCGCAGCGAGGCGAGGTCGCCAGCCCACAATTTGCAACCTCCAGCCCATGCGCGCGCTGGAGCGCAGCTCCGCCACCGACGGCGCGGAGACCAGCAGCCCCACAGCCACGGCCCAGTGGCTAAGCAGCCAGGCTACCACCTCGCACTGGAACGAGTTCCCCACCAAGGATCGTCGCAGCGCCTCGTACTTGGTCGGGCTGGCCTTCGCCTCCGCACTGGTCATGCACGGGGCAGCGCGGCCCTCGGCGAAGCCCATCAGCTTCTCGCGCACGACCGCGCCAGGCGGCGCCACGCGGCCACCCGCCTCGTGGATGCACCACTTGTCACCGAACTGGCAGGGCGGGGCAGCAAAGCCCGCCTTCTCCCAGCGCGCCAGCTCAGCATCCGTGCACCCCCCGACGCCCGCAGGCCTGGGGCGCGGTTGCGAGCGCGGCGCCCAGCGAACAAACGTTGGCAGCGGTTCCCCCGCAGCGGCCCCAGGGCAGCTCGCACCAGCAGGCAGCCACTCCTCCAGCGGCGGCAGCTCAGCCTGCAGCGCCACGCGGCAGGCACGGCGGCCCGCCGAGCTCTTCGCCATCACCATGGTCGCCTTGGACTCGAAAGAGGACAGCAAATCCCAGGGCGCCCAATACAGGCGAGGTCGCTTGACCCAGCCGACGTCACCGGTCTCGACCTCCAAGGGGATCCGCTCGAAGAGCCCGTTAAGATGAAGTACGTCTGGTTCGGCCATCGAAGCAACGTTCTCGCCGAGGAAATCAACCGCGGCCTCAGGCATGGCCACCCACAGCCCCTGGGCGATCCTTACCACGTGGCCGACAAGCGAGGCGCGCGGGTCAGCGGCACCTCGGCGGTCCACGTTGAGGCTCGCGTAGATCTGGCACGGGAAGCCGCCCATCACCAGCGCGCGAGTGATCCGACCTCGGGCCCGCAAGAGGCCCCCCAGGGTGACAGGGTCGGCCTCCGTCACGTCGCCAAGGTGCTGGGTCCCAGGGTAGCAGCGGCGCGCCACGCGCACGGCCTGGGGGTCAACATCGAACGACAGGTGGACCGCGGGCACCAGACCGAGGATCTCAAAAGCCTTGCGCCCACCCCCGATCACGTCGAAGAGGGTGCTCAGCGCCGTCCCCTCCTCGCAGGCAGCGCTGGCAGGCCGCCAGCGCCGGGCGGCATGCGCGCGGCCGCGGTCCGAGAGGGCCGTGCTGCAGACCACCGCGCCCGCAGCCTCCGACGCCTCAGACGCCGTCACCAGGCGGTCAACCTTAAGCCGCATGTCTGCCACACACAGAGCAGAAAGCGCCGGGCACATCAGCAGGTCCTCGACGACGTTGACGCCGAAGCGGCCCCCACTGCGCGCATCGCCAAGCCATCGCCAAGCATGGGCGAAGCTGGCGGCCAACGGGCGGCGGAAGCAATGAACGCACACCCATCGGCCAAGCAGGATACGCATCAGCCGCATGATGGCACGCTTCTTCCCCAGAACCCAAAGGGTCAGACTGACCATCTCAGCAATGTAGCCCGCGGGGGGGGGCGGCGGACCCCCTCGACCCCGCCAACCAGCTCGCCCAGGGTGGTCGCGCGCACCACGCGGTGGAGGTCCTTGCCAGGGGGCCCAGGCGAGCCTGCCGCCGCATGGCAAGACCTGGCGCCCGTCAACAGGGCAGGCACCGTCCCCCGCAGCCTCTCCGCTTCTGACTCGTAGGCGATCTCGGTGATCTCCAGGTTGTCAATGTAGACCATCCATGCCAGGGGACAAAGCTTCTCCACTCCGAGCGGCAACCGCCGCCGACGCGTGACCTCGCAGCTTGGACTGAGGCCCCGAGGTACGCTGCCAATGCGCCGAAGCATGCTGCAGTGAGGATGGGTAGTCACTCCCACCACGCTGATCCACCCCATGCCGATCATGCACAAGCAGGTGTGGGTCGTGCCGCCGTCCTCGAGGCCCAGCAGCCGAGACGGCACGGGGGGGCCGATCACCATGTGCGGCCACCGCGGCGGCGGCGCCCTGAAGACGTAGAAGAAGGCCTTTCCGTCAGCGCCGCTCCACAACAGGTCCTCCGACTCGGCAAGCACCGGGCCGTTCAGCTGACTCATCGTCGGCATCT